AGGCATATTCCCAGAAGAACTGAAAACATCAAACCACAGTGATATATGTACACCGGTGTTTATAGCAACACAATTTGTAATGGCCAGATCTTGGAAACAACTTAAGTGCCCATCAACTGAGGAATGGATAAAAAAGCTGTGGTATTTTTATACAATGAAGTACTACTCAGCTATAAAGAATGATCACATTGAGATATTTATAAATAAATGGACGCAACTTGAGACCATACTCATAAGTGAAATAAATCAAACTCACAAGTATAAATACCATGTAGTTCTCCTTAGTGTAAGAAATAATGAGTACATAAGATTTTATGGTAATCATGATTCCCCATTACATTGCTTTGAAGCCTTATAATGTTTTCATTCATTAATTAGAATGGTTTTATCCTAGTTTTGTTTGATTTTATTATGTGTGATGATATGAACAGCTATTTTGAAGAAAACAAGACATTATGACAGCCAGTGCTGATTTAATATCATCTTGCTTTGAAGTCCTACCATGCTTTTGTTCTTCTGTTTCCATTGGTTCTATCATGTTCTGTCTTATTGGATTTTAACATGTGTGATAGAATAAACAATTTTTTACGGACAATGAGATAATATAGTAGCCATTGTTCATTTTATGTTGTTTGGTTCTGAATGCCGTTTAATACTTTCATTCTCTTGAATGGTTTTATACTATTTTGTTATGTTTGATGCTATTGTATATAAAGCTATGTTCACTATTTTAAAGAAAGAGACATTATGGTAGCTACTGTTAATTACAGGTTGTCTTGTGATGAAATACTGTGTTGCTTACATTGTTCTGTTCTGATCTGCTCTGTTATGTCCTCTTTTGTCTTAATCTCTTTAAAATAAAAAAATTTAAAAACAAAAATTTCTCTCTCAATGAGTTCATTATTTGTGTATAGAAATGTTAATGATTTTTGAGTGTTGACTTTGTATCCAGATATGATACTGAATTTGGTCATGAAATTCAGATATCTAACCGCAGTTTTGGGGGTCTTCTATGTGTAATGTTATGTCATCCACAAATAATGATAATTTAACTTCTTCTTTTCTATCCTCATTCTCTTTATTTCTTCTTTTTGTCTCAGGTGAATGTTTCCAGAACTATATTGAATAAGAATGGTGATGGTGGACATCCTTCTCTCTTCCTGATTTTAGAGTGAATTTTAGAGTGAATTTTAGAGTGAGTTTTCATTATCTATTTAGTATGATGTTGACTGTTGGTTGGTCACAGATAGTTTTATCAGATGGGGATAAAGACTATCTATTTCTATTTTCTGTAGGATTTTTCTTTATCATGAATGGGTGTTGAACTTTGTCAAATACTTTTTCTGCATCTGTTGAGGTGATTCTATGGGTTTTGTCTTTGGCTCTGTTAATATAATGATTACACATGTATTTGCATATGTTGAATTATCCGGGCTTCCCTGTTGAATCCGAGTTGGTGTATAATCTTCTTGATGATTTGCTACATTCTATTTGCCAGTAACTTATTCAGGATTTTTGTGTCTGTGTTCATTAGGAAGAGTGGCCTGTAGTTCTCCTTTTTGGTTTGGTATTTCTCGAGTTTTGGTATTAGGATAATACTTACTTTCAGGAATGAATTTGGGATTATTGCTTCCATTTCAATTTCAATATAATTTGAGAAGCAACAGCACTAAGTTCCTCTAAGTTTCTTGCAGAATTCAACAGTGAATCCATCAGGTTCTGGACTTTTCTTTGTTGGTAGATTCTAAATTAGATCTTCAATTTCACTGACTGATACTAGTTTCTTTAGAATTCTTATATCTTCTTGATTCAGCTTTGGTAATTCATTCATATTAGGAATCTGTCCTTTGCTTCTGAGTCTTCCATCTTATTAGAATAGAAGTTTTCAAAGTAAGTATTGATGATCTTCTCAATGTCTGCAGGGTCTGTTGCCATTTCTCCCTTTACACTCCTAATTGCATGGATTTGACCTTTTCTCTCCTTTTTTCTAAGGTTTGCTAAGGGTTTGTCAACTTTATTTACTTTTTTAAAAATCTTTTTATCGATACCGGGGATCAAACTCATGACCCCCCTGCTTGCAAGGCAGGCGCTTATGCCGCTGAGCTAAATCCCCAGCCCCTGTGGACTTTATTTAATCTTTCAAAGAACCAAATCGTTAGCTCATTGAGTCCTTGTATTGTTTTCTCAGGTTTCATTACATTAATTTCTTCTTTTTAAAACTTTTTTCCAAGTCCATTTCATTTCAAGGATAAAAAAGAAAGAAGTGAAAAAAGAAGAAAAACTACAACAAAATTTCGAAACATATCAGGGGCAACAATCGTACGTGCATTGCACATTGTCATCCCCAAACCATTCATCTAGAGCACAACACATCTGCATTCAATTGTCTGAACAATATCAGCACAATCTTTCTCTTCAACTCAGAGAAATCAGTAGTATAACCATCTTAACTATTATTTATATACATATTCATATACATGTTTTCTTTCAGCTTCTCACACTAAAAAATGCTTTTCACATGTGTCTTATTTATTTCACTAATGAGTATTCCTCAAGATGCATCCATTTACCTATAAAAATCTACTTTTTATGGCTGAGTAGTACTCCATTATATAAAAATATCACATCTGTTTTATCCATTCCTCAGTTGATAGGTATTTAGGTTGTTTCCAAAATATGGCTATTACAAATTGTGCTGCTATAAACATGGGTGCACATCCTTCACTGTGATATGATGTCTTTAATTCTTTTGGGAAGATGCCCAGAAGGGAAATAGAAGGGTCAAATGGGACCTCTAGTCCTAGGTTTTTTGAGGAATCTCCACACTGATTTCCACAGTGGTTGTACTAGTCTTCATTCCCACCAGTAGAGCAGAAGGGTTCCTTTTCCCTCACAGCCCTTCCAGCATTTATTGTTGCTTGATTTCTTGATAGTAGCCATTCTTTCCAGGATGAGGTAGAATCTCAGTGTTGTTTTAATTTGCATCTCTTGAATAACCACTGATGTTGAACATTTTTTCACATATTTATTTGCTGTTTGTATTTCTTCATCTGAGAAGTGTGTATTCATCTCAGATGCCCATTTTTGGATTGGGTCTTTGAATCTGGGAAGACTGATGTTTTTGAGTTCTTTATTTGTTCTCATTAGTAATTCTTTGTCTGAGATAGTTGGCAAACATTTTCTCCCACACAGTGGGTTGTCTCTTCATAATGCTAGTGTTGTCTCTTGCTATGCAAAAACCTTTCAGTATGGTGAGATCCTAGTTTTCTTTCTTTGAGATAGTTCTTGTACAATCTGAGTTTTGTTCATAGACTTTGCCTACTCCAATGCCTTCAAGAGTTTTATCTACTCATTTCCAGAAGATTTAATATTTGTATGTTAATATTAAGATCTTTGATCCATTCTGACTTTTGCTTAGTACGTGGTGAAAGATACAGGTCCAGTTTTAATCTTTGGCATGTGAAGAGCCAGTTTTTCCAGCACCCTTTATTAAAGAGGCTATCTTTCTTATAATTAGTGTGTTTGGTACCTTTGTCAAAGATAAGGTGGCTTAGTGTGTCTGGAGTTGTTCCTGCATTTTCTGATCTGTTCCATTGATTTTTGGGTCTGTTTTTGTTTTGTTTTGTTTGTTTGGTTTGTTTTTTGCCAGTACCACACTGTTTTTATAGTATACTTTCAAGTCAGGGGTTGTCTTCTTTGTTGTCCCGGGATTGCCTTTGCTATTCTAGGTCTTTTCTGGTTCCAGATGAAATTTAGGATTGTTTTCTCTAATTCTGTGAGATATGCTGTAATATCCTCTTTTATCTCCTTTTTCAGAGTACTATAGTTTTCAATGTAGAGGTCTTTTACATCATTTGTTAGATTGATTCCTAGCATTTTCAGTTTTTTATGCTATTGTAAAAGGTAAAGGGGCTGGGGATTTTAGCTCAGTGACATAAGCACTGCCAGGCAGGTGCAAGGTTGTGAGTTCGATCCCCAGTACCCCCCCCCAAAAAAGGTATTGTTTCCCTGATTTCTTTCTCAGTGAGCTTGTCATTCATATGCAGGAAGGTTTTTGATTTTTGAGTGCTGACTTTGTAAGCAGGTATATTACTGAATCTGGTTATTAAATCCATAAGTCTTTTGGTGGAGTTTTTCAGTTCTTCTAAGTAGACTATCATGTCATCTGTAAATAATGGTAGTTTAACTTCTTCCTTTCCTGTTTTTATTCCTTTCATTTCTGTCTCTTGTCTAATTGCTCCAACTAAAGTTTCAAGGACTATATTGAATAATAGTGGTGATAGATGAAGTTTGTCTTGTTCCTGATTTTAGAGTGAAAGCTTTCAGGTTTTGTCCATTCTGTATGATACTGGCTGTTGGTTTGTCATAGATAGCTTTTATCAGATTGAGATAAAAACCATCTATTCCACTTTTTTGTAGGATTTTTTTTCTCTTTTTGAGACAGGGTCTTTCTATGCAGTTCAGGCTGGCCTTGAGCTCACTTTGTAGCCAAGGCTGGTCTCGAACTCACAATGATCCTCCTGCCTCAACCTCCCGAGTGCTAGGATTACAGGTATGAGCTACCACGCCCCGCTTTTTGTAGGATTTTTATAATGAATGGGTATTGGACTTTGTCAGAAGCTTCTTCTGCATCATATGATTTTTATCCTTTGCTCTGTTAATATGGTATATTACATTTATGGATTTACATACATTGAAAAATGCCTGCAGCCCTGGGATGAATCCCACTTGATCATGTTGTACAATCTTCCTGATAATTTGCTGTAGTCTGTTTGCCAGTATCTTATTGAGCATTTTTGCATCATTGTTCATTAGGGAGACCGGCCTGTAATTTTCTTTCTTAATCTCCTTCTACAGTTTTAGTAGTAGGGTAATGTTGCTTTGAGTAGTGAATTTCGAAGTATTGCTTCCTGTTCAATTTCATTAGAGTTTGAGACATAGTGGTGTTAGGTTTTCTCTAAATTTCTTGAATAATTCAGTAGTAAATCTGTCAGGGCCACCTGGCCCTGAATCAAACAAAGGCCAGCAGCTTCCTGGTGCTGTTGGTTTCAAGCAGGAGCCTAAAGAGATGTCTTTCTACGGTCTGTTGGCTATTTCAGAACTTGAACAATGAAATGGTCAATTCATTAGAAAAAAACAGCTTAAACCAAACCCCCCTCCCCAGCCACCAGCGTTTACTGGGACCCGCACCATGCTGGGACCTGGAGCACCAGTAAACCAAGCAACCCCTCCCTGCCCTGGTGAGCAGCTGTGAGTGTGGCACGCTCTGTCGGCCCAGGGAGGGAGCCACTGGTGTTTACTGGGATTTGTGCTATGCTGGGGCCTAGAGCGCCAGAAAACCAAGCAACCCCTCCCCCCTTGCCTGTTTTGTTTTGTTGAACTTCAATATACATGAAAGTATGGACAGCTATTTTGAGGAGAACAAGAGACTCTCCAATGGCCATTAAGGAATTCCCTATTGTCTGGTTTTGAAGACCTAAAACGCCTTCCTCATTCTGTTTGGATAAGTTTTATACTATGTATGAATTCTCTGTATGCAAAGACATGGACAACTATTTGGAAGAAAACAATAGACAATATGATAGTGAAGATCTCAAGTCGTCTAGCTTTGAAATTTATATCTCTTACATTGCTTTCTTGTGTCCTATTTTGTTCTGTTTTGTTGTGTTTAAATTTACCCCCTTTAAAAAAAAAAATAAAAACTGTCAGGGCCTGGGCTTTTCTTTGTTGACAGGTTTTTAATTACATCTTTGATTTCATTTATGGATATTGGGTTATTTAGAGATTTTATATCTTTTTTGATCAGCTTTGTTAATTTCTATGTATGTAGAAATCTGTTCTTCTGTATTTTCCATCCTATTAAAATACAAGTTTTCAAAGTAGGTATGGATGATTTGCTGGATTTCTTCCAGGTTGTTGTGATTTTACCCATTTCATTCCTAACTGGATGGATTTATTTCTTTCTAAGCTGGCTAATTGTTTGTCAATTTTATTTAATCTTTTAAAGAACCAACTCTTGATTCATTGCTTATTTGTATTTTTTTAGTCTCCAATGAATTAATTTCTGCTTTGATCTTTGTAATTTTCTGCCTCATACAAGCTTCTAGTTTAGCTTGCTCTTCTCTTTCTAGAAGTTTGAGGTTCAACATTAAGCTGTTTATATGCACTTGCTCTATTTTCCTGATATTTGCTATTGTAAATTTTTCTCTTAAGACTGCTTTTATCATGTCCCACAGGTTCCAGTACATTATTGTTCAACTATAAAAACTAATTTCTTCTTCAATTTTAGCTGTGACCCATCGGTTGTTCAATAGGGTACTATTTAATTTCCATGTGTTTATGAATTCCTTTGGCATGGATTTTCAGTTTTATTGCACTATGGTCTAATAGTATGCATGGGATAATTTCCTTTGCATCTACTTAAGCATGTTCTGTAAGTCAGTGTATGGTCTATTTTGGAGAATGTCTCATGTGCAGCTGAAAAGAATGTGTATTCTGATGCTGTGGTATGGAATAATCTGTAGATATTTACTAGATCCATTTGTTCAAAAGTTTGATTTAGTTCTAATATTTAATTATTAATTTTTTGTCTAGTTGATCTGTCTTCTTGTTACCATGGGGCATTGACATCTCCCAATACAACTGTATTTTCTTATTTGATTTTTCATGTCTATTATACTTATTTTATGTAGTTGGATGCACTGGTATTTGTTGCATGTATATTTATGATTGTTATCTCTTCCTCTTGCATTGTTCCCTTCATAAGGGTGTGGTGACCTTCTTTATCTCTCTTAATTAGTCTTGGCTTAAAATTCATTTTGTCTGTAAATAGTATAGCTACCCTTGCTTTTTCTGGGTTCCTGTTGCATGGAGTATTGTTTTCCATCCTTCAACTGTCAGTCTATGAATTTCCTTTTGAATTAAATGTTTCATGTATGCAGTATATTGTGGCATCTTGCTTCTTTTTTTTTTTTTTCTTTGTCTTTTTGAGGCAGGGTCTCACTATGTGGTTCAAGCTGGCCTTGGGCTCACTCTGTAGCCAAGGTTGGTCTCACACTCACAACAATCCTCCTATCTCAGCCTCCCAAGTACTAGGATTACAGGAGTGTGTCACCACGCCCGGCTTTTTTGCATTTTGCTTCTTGATCCATTGTGCCAGTCTGTCTCTTTTGACTGGTGAATTGAGACCATTAATATTGATGGTTATGACTGATATGTATTGACTTATACTTGTCATGTTATTTTCCTGTTGTTGGCTCACCTCTTTTTTCCACTCCAACTGTTTGCCTTGACTGGTGGATTCCTTCTGTTGGGGTTTATGGAGCTGTAGTCCTTCTTATCTCTTTCTAGAATGTCCTTCAGAACATTTTGAAGTGCTGATTTGGTGATCACACATTTCATCAGATGTTCTTTGTCATGGAAGTATCTTATTTCTCCACCAATTTTGAAAGCTATTTTTGTGGGGTACATCAATCTGAGTTGAAAGTTGTTTTCCTTTAGAACTTAGAGTACTTCACTCCAACTTTCTTTGACTTGAGAGTTTGTGCTGAGAAGTTGGCTGTGATACTGATGGGTTTTCCTTTATAGGTGATTTGTTTCTTTTCTTTAACAACTTTTAGGATTTTATTCCTGTGTTAATTTCTGGAATCTTCACTACGATATGCCTGACTGTAGATTATTTTTTGATCATTACTAATTGGAGTTCTGTATGCCTCCTTTATCTGCATGTCAAATTCTTTTTCTCTACCAGGAAAGTTTTCTGTCATGATGTCTGTGAACATTTTTTTTTTCAGAGACCCTTGTTTGAAGAGTCTGTGAACATTTTAAAAATATCATTTGTGGTATCTACTGCTTGTTCATTGAGTCCAATTAATCTTGTTGTTCTTTGTCTCATTTAGCAGCTGCTGGATTGATTTCTTATGGTCCCTTGCTATTTTTGAGAAATCTTTCTTTTCCTGGTCACTAACTGCAAGCCTGTCTTCAATATCTGAGATCCTATCTCACATTGGCCTAATCTGCTTCAAATATTTTTAGTGGAGTTTTTATTCTCCTGGAAATCTGCTTGAATCTGCTTTATTGATTCCATTTCTTTCCTATGCTGAGCTTCCATAATTTGCTTAAACTTGTCTACTTTTTGTCTGTTTCTGCTCTAATATTGCTAAGCATGGTATGTATTTTGGTAATCTCTGTAGTTATCTGACAGATTATTTCTGATCTCATTTTTTTCATAGCCTCATTTAGTTGCTTTGTTGTTGCCACTTTAAGGAGGCCTAGTGAGGGGCTTTCAGATTGTCCCACCTCATTTGCTCCTGGGTTTGCCTTTGGTGAACTGGATGTCTGAGGTTGCATTTTGCTTAAATGTTTTCTCATTTTATTTTCTCCTTTTTTTTTAGTTTAATTTCTGAAACGATGCTTGTAAGCTGCCTGTAGTGGATCACTTTATTGGTAGTATTTAGGATCCTTAGGTGATGATTAGTCTCTAAGGTATCTTCCAGGTGTAGCTGATTTTTGGGTTTTGAGTCTGTCGGAAGATCTAACCTCTTCAGTTTGTTGGAGATAAGAAGTTGTTGCTTGTTTGACCCAGTTCCTAGTTCTTTGGCACTGTGCCACCATATTTTTGTGACCTTTATATATCAGTCATAGATTATCAGGACCAACAGTTCTTTACAACAATTATATCAGTTTTGGCTATGGTGGTACCAAATAGCATCAAACACAGCCCACAAAACAACAAACTGAGCTAATCCTTAATTTTCAACTTTTAAGCATATGAATTATATTTATGGTTATATCACAAAATGTAAAACCAGATAACTATATGAAATATATAAGTCCAACATGTGTCAGTTTTGCCCTCTGGGTTAAAATTTAAAATGGATTAAGGAGAAAACAGAGAAGTGGAAGAAGAGAAAGAGATTAGAAGTAAGGTTGGAGGAAAAAGGAAATCAAGCCAACTTGGGGAAACTAGTGCAGAAGACTGAAGGAGAAGAGAGATGGAAGAGATAAAAGAAAGAACAGAACAAAAACCACACCCACAAAGAGGTTAGGAACCACTTTCACACTCATATATAAACAATGAAGGAGAAAGAAAAAAGAAAATGAAACATTTAAAAGAAAAACAAACAGTTTCCTTCCAAGATTCTCTCTAGTTTCACTAACAGATAACCAGTGGAGACAGAGTCCTGAATCATGCCACTCTATCCCAGGAAGTCATTAGTTGCTTTATGGTAGAATATTGGATAACCTCAGTAGGCCTACCCCGAGACCAGTCTCACTGGGCTTGTCACAGTCCAAGTGGTCTGTGCCAGCCAAGAGCTGCTAGAGGAAGCTGGCAGTGGTTCTGAGCTCTGAGCTTATCTGTCCCATCTCCAAAATGGCTCCTGGCTAATTACTCTCTCCCCATCGGAGGACTAAGTCCTCTGCACTCAATGCTAGCCAGCAGTCCTCCATTGCTGCTCCCCTCCACTGCCATGTCTCTCTGCAGAAGCCTCCAGGGTCACCAGCCATCATCATCACCATGACCATGTGTCCCCTGGTTTGAACTCCTCCTCTCACCCAGTAAGTCCTGTCTCAGAGTGAAGGCACTGCTGGCTACTGCCTTCTTTTTTGAAGTTTTCCCTTTTTCTTCTCCCAATGGGCTTCAATTCACACTTTAGATTCTTCCTGGGTCCTTTCTTTCTTGTCTTCTTCATGATGCCATATTCCAGCTTCTGGATAGTGACTCTCAGACAAGCTGTTTTCTCTGGTGTTTACACTCTGCCATCTTCTGTAGTTTTTTCCTTTCCTTTTCTTTTTTTATCATGGGTAACTGGAGTTTTATATGCCTCACTTATCTGCATGTGAACTTTTTATACTTGGGAAGTTTTGTGCTACTACTTCAGTAAACAGGTTTTTTGTACATTGGGCCATCTCCTGCTTTTTCCTTAACTCATGCCAATCTTATGTTATTCATTTTTGTATCATCTAGCAGCTGCTGGATTGATTTTTCATGTTTTTTTGCTGTTTTTAAGAAATCTTTTGGTTGGACATGGTGGTACATGCCTGTAATCCCAGCACTTGGGAGACTGAGACAGCAGGATCCTTGTGAGTTAAAGGCCAGCCTGCACAGTGAGTCCAAGGCCAACCTGAACATAGCAATTCTC